TGTAGTATAAGAGCAGAAATATTTTGAGGCAGTCCCTTATGCCTTCCTCCCTGTTCCACCAGTCTGCTCAGACAGTAAGGAACAGGCCTGATGCTGAGACCAGAAAGAGGCTGAGGAAGTCATTATTTGTGGGGATTACTGGAGTCCAAGATCCTGACTGTACGTTCTCAGTGATAATTAATTCTTTATAGCCAAAGGTGAACTGACATGAGAAGAACACCCAGGAGGCCAGGCAAGCTCTACGCTACTTTTGTGGTGAGAGGCAGAAGCCACTTCAGAGGGATAAACAGCTGAACGCTGAATTGGTGTTGATGCTGTTGCTGAGAGAATTTCTTGGGCGTTAATTTTTGAATTTCGTAGCCCAACCCTGCATTACTTATTTATAGCTCTTTTCTTCTACCCCCCTCCCCCCCGCCATGGCATCTGGCTGCTGCATATGAGACACGTGGTTGCAATTCTGAAATGTCTGCTGAAAAATTATCACCACCCCTATCTGCTGCTAAGGATCGGATACCTCAGGGCAGCAGGGAATTTAGCAATTGACATAGTCATCACTAAGTTGTGGCACCTGCAGCCTCAGAAGCCTATGAGCACAGAGGGCTGGACCAGTTTTATTTGGGGCCAGCCCCACACTGTGGCTCGAGTCTGTCTTATACCAGTGCTGGTTGTTGTGCCAGGGTGCAAGGTGGGACTCACCCACAGGCCTCTTTCCTCCAGCAGCAGTAATAGGGTCTCTGTTGCACCTCCAAGGGACATAGGTGGCTTTGGTTCTCCCTATGGTTCATGTGAGAAATGGAAATGAATCAGTTCAAATGTTTTGAGTTTACTGCAGTCTTCCCCTCCTATGTGTGGTTTTTTAATGCATTGGAACAATAACCCTGCATGCAGCAATTTATTCCTCTCAGGGGCTGTGTTTTGGGCTGTCTCTGGACTCAGGCACTATTGCTGTATGAGTTGTGCAGGGTTGTCTTTTAAAGGATTTTGTGCATGTATTTTTGTGGCTTTTCATTTTTATTGCAAGTTGCATCACAGCTATAAGTTTCAATGACAGCAGGAGCTGGTATCCTCTTCAGAGACCTACTGGACCTACAAGGGAAAGGCTTCTTCTGGAGCACTGCCCACACGCAGAGGACGTCTGGCTATGACATCTGCAGTTGCTGTCCTAGGTCTTCACAGAAGTAGTGAAGCAAAGTATTGCTACTGCTGTGAAAGACTCAGTGAGAAAAGAGATCTTTTGAAGATAAAGGTGTTACATATGCAGTACAAGTTTATGAGGGTAACCGGTATTTCCAGTAACAGCCAGAAGCTAAGATAGCTATGAAAACATAGTAGGTCATGCACATTATGTTTTCTGCCAGATGAGATTTCTCTGTATGTTTCAAAGATAGCCCCAAGAAAAAGTGTTTTTTCAGCAGCCAAAATGTGAAACTAAAAATGCAAGGAAAAAATTGCACAATCACCAGTAGAAGTCAATATTTGCCACCTCTTACCACCTTGTGATTTCTAATATATCTCTATTATTTCCATATTCTGTGCTATGCTAAGCCATGGAAATCTGAGTTATGACAGTTACTTTTCACTGCAGTGTTGATGGAGGCTTCAAGGACATAACATCTATCTGATACTTCATTCTTCTGTGTGAGTGCAGAAACATTAGAAGCAGCTGCCCTGCATTTTTATATTTTACCTTGCAAACGCTTCAGTTCAATGTATTGCTCTGCAAAGCTCTTTGTCATTTCAACACTTCAGTTTCATCTACTTTTGCATTCTTATTGGATATATTTGTGGTGTCTAGGTATCACTGCTGGTACCTCTGTGTTTTTCTGAAGCTGAGAGATACCACTTAGAATATATTTTTTCCTTTTCTCTTATATATGTTTAATGATCAGTTTTCAAAGGAATTATACTTTTTTTAAAGATTATTGCAGAACTGTTCTGATGCTATTGACAAAAATTGTTAAGTAATTTTCTTCCATGGTTGTGGTTCATAATATTTTGCAAAGTTCTGTTTGATGCCCAGTTTGAGTGAATTTGATTTTCTTTTGCCCATTAACTCCCCAAGTATTTTTGTGTAATTGTTTCACTTACAGAATAATTAAAGGATTATATATATATTTTTAAAATCCTACTTCCAATCTAGACAGATTTGCAAGCATTAATGGGAAGTTCAGTAGCAAGAGCTGAGTAAAATCTGACATTCCTGAATAGCAGGTTTAATCCTATTCTAAGAGGAGCTCTGCAGATATCTCTGCACATGTCCAAACCTCTATCATAGTCATCATTTTATTTATTTTACCATATTATTCAAGTCTTTTAAATTCAAGTCTTCTACACAGAAGAGCTATGTTTCATGATGCAATGGACTGAGTAGGTGAGATAAGCCAGTTTTTGTACAGAGAGGTGTTTCAGTAGCAGAAATAATCAGTGGGAACGGCAATAATTTCCTAAGTGGCATTTCGTCTTTATTGAAAATTTCAATGGTGTTGCTATACAGCTGTCATCTTTCAGATTCAAGAGTTCCATCTAGAGGAATCCTATTTTATGAGCTTTATTTTGCTGATCTTTTAATGTGTGCCATATTCACTAGCTGAAAATAGATTAATTAATTCTTGTTTTTCAGTTTCCTTGTTGCCTATCTATAAATTCCATTATTTTTTCCAGCTATATTTGAAATAACATTTTGACATCAATATTTCCCGTTTATACTTAACATATCACATCCATATTTTTGTTTAACAAACATATTGAACAGAGAAGAGAATTCTGATCAGCTCTGACTGGAACTTACAAATTTGTAGCCCAGAAAGTTACAATGATCAGATGTTCATATCAACAGTGATAAAATATATCTTTAACAAAAAAAAAAATGTAGAGTACCTGAACAGATTCTGGCAACTGTGAACCATATACTAATATAGAAAATATTGAATGTACACATACTCGCTGAGAATTGATATTTCAGCTCGGCTACATAAATCTTTGTTCAGTTTGTTTTAGGAGCTACTGTTTCCAAGTCTTTTTTTCTTAACCTGAGGGAAATTTGGATAAAAATCCAACTGAACTAGAAATAGAAAAGATTTCCTCCTAGCTCTTGGGGTTAGTACTTAAACTCCTGTTTTTTATCTAATGAACATTTTAAGACCTTCTGCAGTTCAGATATGCCAATTTATCTCTTCTAATTTTCTTTGTCAGATGCAGAGATAAAATACCTTGGTAATGTTTAATAATGAAGTCTCATATCTAAAGCTGTATTAGGAAGATGTTGGTATTCAGTTGTGATGAATTTGCCTAACAGAGAAGCCAGCTTTCTAGATGTCAGAGAGAAAAGTTTTTGCTGTCAAAACCATGTTAGTAAAAGGGTGGCATGGTGCAACCAAGGGGAATGAGCTGAAGAAATTCCACAGTTTATGCTAGCAAATCTTGAATCTTGCAGGTATAAGTTAAATTGTTTAAAACAAAACAAAAATGTACTTCAAGCTTTCCTGTGGCTCTACTTTCCCAAGCAAAATTAGCGATACTTTCAAAATCCATGCCTGCACTAAAAGTGTAACAACAATCCTAAATGAGGATCCTAGACTGGTGTATGATCCTTACTGGTGTAGCTATATTAAAAAAAGCCCTCCAGCTTTAAATCTGATTTGTTTTTTAATAAAATCCTTTGATGTTTCCTTAAGAAAATTAATTATAGCAGTAGTATATGTAGAAGCTGTACTAGAAAATTGAGGGCAGGCCAGTAAGTCTGAGATTATAAAAACAAGTTTCTGGGGATATGTCTATAAAATAATAAAAGAAGACCAAGGAGGTCCTGAAACCTAGTGATGTGGATTAGTTTGAATTTACATTGCTTAGGGCTAGTCCCTTGGTAGCAGACTTGTGTCGGAAGGATCTGATTGAAGCAGTCCAAGACATTGTCAGTGATTACGCTAGCTTCTTGGCCTCCTTTTACTTAGAAGTGAGGATTTACCCTTTATAATAGGGTTCACGTAAAAAAAAAAAAAAAAAAAGCGCGCACATACACACACACACAAAACCAGGTACCTCTAAAAATATAGCAACATGAATTCAACTGAGCACAACAGGTGAAGTGCGTTTCTCTGCTTAGTTACATTTTTTTTCTTTCAAGCTCAAAGTAAAATGGATTAATTTTTAACTACATGTTAGAAACCTGATGGTTTTTCTGATTTTCAACCTGAGGCTTATTTTGGTTTGGATTATGTGATAGCAAAAATAGAACTTCCTTACTGTGTTATTCTTGATTTAATTTTCTGCCAACATTTTCTGAAATTTTTAGATGTCATTATAATGACAAATTAAGGTCAATCGCATAACCCCAGGCTTCAATTTGGTTTTGTTTTTAGTGAAGCAACATTGTGGTATGCAGTTATAATTTAATTTATCTAATCTGCCACCTGCCACCTTGTTTCTCTCAATGTTGGTTTTACATTTTTTGTAGTTGCCCTTAACTTTCTCCCCCTTCATTTTGTAACCATCTTTCAGATTGTGCAATTTTAGGAATTCAGCAGAGGCAAAATTAAGTTTGCATTATGTTTATTATCTGATCTACTGTGGTTATAAGAAATAACCACATGGATATTTCTGAACAATTGGATGCAATTGACTGTGATGAGAAGTTTGCTTATAAGACATTGTAGAAAAGACCATTTTTTCACATTCTGTTAAAAAATTGGGCAGCTTTAGAAAGAGTCCTAAGGACTGCTGAAGTTTTTTGCCCCTCAGAGTACCTGGAATTGGCTAATTGCATGGCAAAGCCAGGTGCAAGTGCGTAGATTTAGGCACTCAATTGAAGTGGTTGAGAACAGACACCATCTTCCTGGCCTCCCTCTATGATAATGTTTTTCAATCCCTTTTGAACTGTCATTCCTTTAAACTTTCCAGTGGAAGACAGAACTCTTGTACAGTTAATTTCAGCTTGCAGACCATGGGCCTTTCTTTTCTTTGTTACCTTTCAGAGAACTCTAAAGAACTATTTCATAGTTGCCTCTGGGTCTACAGGTCACAAGCTGAAAATGCAGCTCTGTGACCAGGGAAAAGGACTTCAGCTGTTCCCTGCTGATGACCAATGAGCTTTGAATGACGGTTGATATAACTTGGGTGACGAGGTTTCTGAATTACAGCTTTCGTCTGGATATCTCAAGGTAGGTAGAATGGATCTGGGACAAAATGCGGATATAGAAAGCTGAAGGAAAAGTTGATTTTTTTTTTTTTTTGGAGCCAATATTAGTGGAAATAGTATCTCCCTAATATTCCACTTGAAACAAGAGAAACAACCACTGAAAAATCTTACCATAAAAAAAAATCTCATCATTGATCTCAATCACTAATTTCAAAAATAGGACCTTTCAGTCTTTGCCAGGTCTGTGATATGGTGCTGTGATATTGTAGTTAAATGCCACTCTGTACCATCTGCACTAAAACACAGGCACTATATTCTTGTTCTCCCTTCATTGTGTTATTGAGGTGACAAATTTATGGTTTGGTGCTAGCATAAGGCCAAAGTAATGGGTTTATTGCTATGCTTTGAGAAATAAGTTGCTCGATGAGGCTTTCAAAATCGGGAGAAAACTCATCTATCTATTTGCACATATATTAGCAGTGAGCATAATTTCACCTTGGAATTAATAATATTTATGTAGTGTAATTTCTGGAAAAAAATATGAGGTCCATAAAGAACTTCCCAAACAAGATAACTGTAAAGCAGAATTAATTGTGAGAATTTATCATTTGGCAAAACAATGAGATAGTTTAATAAAGGTGAACCGAGTACTGAAAATTCAGGAAACAGGCAATGCAAAGCCTATTTCAATTTTAGTTTTACTGTCTGTGTCCGTACATGCTCACCATCCATCAGCTGAAGTTCCTAACTAGCTGCCATATGAAAGGCATCTTCAGAGTATGTGCATTTGTTTTTTGCATAATGCCATTTGTATTGAAAATTACTGTCCACTCAGTGTTAAATTGTGGTCTAAATTGATAATAACTCCAATCCACAGAGTTGTTTAAGTATATGTTAACAGTAAAATTAAGTATACTTTAAATGCCCCCTTAGTTGGCACCTAGGAACAGATCTTTGAATTATTCCCAGGCGTAGGACTAATTGTATAGGAACCCAACATTTTTTAGGCAGTGAACAGCTGCTGGGTGCAAGGTGCTCGCTGCCCTCTTCTGAACTTCACAGAAACCTCAAGAAGAGCGGACAGAGGAGAACAGAGGATGGACTGACTGTTCCATAAACAGAGAGGGCAGAAAATGTCTCCTGTCTGATGAAATTTTTTTCAGTGGAAAGTGTATAATTTAATCAAGATGGAAATGTTGCACAGGAATTTGCCATTTTCAACAAAATTTTATTTCAAAAATAAAATTAACATTATGATTATTTTCACCACGATTATTATTGATAGTTATAGCTTTTGTTTTAGGACAATTTTTATGCTAGAAATTTCATTTTAATGGCAAAATTTGGTGTAGGTTAAATGCATCCATTTTAATCAAAGTGGAGCGCTATCAGCTACCTGACATGAGACTGTGTTTTTTGGTGGGGGGGGAAACGTAGATGTATCTTGGCTTTGTTCTGAATCAGAACAAAAACAGGTCTTGGAGTCTCAATGTGTAAAAAAATTTTTTTAAATGAATATACATACTGGATCAGGCTATAGGTGGCATTTAAAGGAGAATGAATGAATTGGTAGAAGGTACCAACAATAATTTATACCAAATTCCCTTACTGAGACAGCAGCAGAATTTAAATGACTGCCTGAGCATATTCACTGCCAACATCTGCCAGGAATATTCATAAAGGAGACAGGCCAGAGGTGGATTTCAGGATGATCTTGGGCGGTTGAGGACTTCAGTTTCCATTAGAGAGATACAAGGACAGAGATAGGAGACTCCTATGTAAATTTTATTAATTTAAGTCTCTAGACATATATAATATATCTCTAGCCATCAAAATATGATAGAATTGGGAATAGTACAGGTGATTAACTCATACCCTTCCCTAAACTTCTGATGGGGTTATACCAAGCCCAGAGATCACTTTGGTGGCTCTTGACAAAAATGCTCCATGTCTTTATTGTCAGCATGGCCAGCCAAAAACTTTGGAGCAAAAGGTTACATGTCAATGATTTTGTGTTCTGAAAAAGCTCCTCTTAACAATCTACAACTTACAAATTTTTTCCTTTGATTGGGAACTACGCAGGGAGTAGTGCAGAGGAAAAAGTGCTGAGGAATTCTAAGGTAATCAAGTTTAAAGCAAAAATTGTTTTGGAACTTAACTAAAGGGCATTACCATGACTGTATTATTATTATTTATTCATAGATCAGACTACTGTTTCTGCCTTAGCATATTGTGGCTGTCCTTAGCTACAGAACTAGAATATTCGTGGCTCAGGTAGCTAAAACAAGATGCAGAATGTAGGATGCTTCAAATAATGCCAAACATTTTATATAAGATATATCTAATTAGAAGTAGTTTCCTACTCATTAGTAGATAACAGATGCCTCCAGAAGTAAAATACCTTTTCTTTTATCAGTTTTGCATGCATGAGATGGGTTTGAATCCTGACAATGTAAATTTACTTAGTGCGGCTGTCTGTATATTTGTAAAACTAGTATAATAATATATAGTATCAACTTGTGTGAATTTCTTCCCTTTTAATCAAACTCATTTTGAACTTCTATTTCTTTTCTTATCTTTCAGTGCCTCAGAATAAAATAAATAATAACAATAGTGATAATAATAACAATAAGGAGCTTCCTCTTTGAGGTCCACACAGACTTTAAAACATGGATAGAAGTCAACCATTTTCACGTGTTCTGCGTTTGGCTTTGTTCCAAATTAGCTGATAGGCTTGCACATGAAAATACGCCAGCGAGAAAGTTGCATTCCACCAACTAAGATTCACCTGAAATAACCCTGCTGTTTTACAGCGGTGTCTTTCAGATGGAAAGATTGTCTTCCTATTCTGACAATGTAAGCCTAGCTGGCAGCTCCGTGAAACTCCTAAGTGAAGATATTTACGCTGAGATTTGAAACCAGTGACTGTGTCTCTGTACCTGCCTGACCTCTGGTAGTGCAGAGTGTCGAATCCTGCGTTTACCCTGATGTGTTCAGTAGCGCAGCCAGCCATCATGGTCCTTTTTTTCCCCCGACACGTTGATGATCCTCTAGCAGTAGTGAAAGAATTTTTGTCCTCAAAGGCAGATGTAGGCATATTCAATAAAAATGCCTTCACAAGCCCGAGAAACTCTTCAGTGTTTATTCTCACTTTTTTGGCATTAGGTACTTCACCTCATCTCTTTTGCCAGCTGCCTTGGGGAGACATGTTTCTGTAACAGCTTATCTTACAAGTTAAAAGGCAGGAGCTAAAGCTGATGGTTTATGATATAAATTGCTTTGCACAGAGGCACATAGGAAGATCATTAAAATCCAAATGGCAGCAGATGAAAAACTAACTCACACAACAGGTACTGTGTCTTGATATCATTGATTACTCAGTAGCAATTTCAAAGGTGGGCTTTTCATGGTAAAATTATGGTATGGAAAATTTACCAGACCGGAGGATCTCTGAACATGTTGTTACAGGTTTCTAGCCTCTTGCCATTGTACTGGGACAAGTTGTTGCATCTCCTTCTAGTGCTATATGGGTCACTTGCTGCAGCTTAAATAGCAGAAGCTGATCCCTCTTCCACTGTTCAAAAATTTGCATGCTAAATTCGAGTAAATATTAAAAGGCTAACATGCAGCTTACTTCCTGTCCCAAAGCATGTGGGAAAAACATTTTTTTTTTCTACTGTTTGACTTTGCCTGTCACCTTCCCTGAGGTATTTAAAAAAGTAATCCCAAGGATATTCAAAGCTAACAGTAATGAGAAGCAGAATTCTGCTAAGGTTTTAGGTGTTCAAAATCATGCACTTGTGGCCTTAACTAATGAATCCTCACAATCCTTCCAGAACTACAGCTTGCAATAAACATTTTATGGTCTGGATTCCATCAGCTATCATAGTTGGGAACACACAGGTTATGTTGTACATGAGGCCAGGTAGGCAGTGCCTGGGCACCCGAATGCAAGTGTGGGAACCAGGGATCTTACTCCTGCTCCATAAAAATGTTGTTATGTTGTTTCTATGTTTCCTGCCCTCGAAGTGCTTCTATACCTATGCATTCACCTTCACAATATTAAGGCAAAACATAGACATGCACCAACACCTTGTGCATTGCTTCCATGGAAAAAAGCCCAGGCCTGGCAGGCTGAGCTGCAGATGAGCGTGCTGCAGATGAGCAAAGGATGAGAACTACAGGGTATCTATGCTCTGTAAGTAACACCCAGCTAGTAGGTCAAGACAGCTATTTTCTCTAGGGCAAGTCCCCTTTTCCCTCTGGTTTTCTCTGCCTTTCTTAATCACTTTTGTTTATTTTTATGTTGTAATCTCTGGAGGACCAGGACTCTCCCTTTTACTCTGTACTATGCCTACCAGCTGCTGGACCCTAATCTCAGTTTGACCTGCTGGATACTGCTGTAGTACAAATGTTGCTTAATAATCTGGACAAAAGTTCAGTGTGACTTCAGTGTGTCGCAAGGCCATGAGTGACTCTGTGGAACTTCCCAGGAAACAATCATTACAACCATAAGGCAATGCGGCACTGTTCTGTACACTTTATAAATCCTACTACGCCACACTTCTTAGATATCTTGAATATATTTAGGAGATGCTTAAACCCTGTATTATCACTGTGCTTTCCTTACATCAGTATGTGAGGCAACGAAGCATGCTCCTGAGTTACCATGGAGCCGAACTGCACAGATCTTGGGAGACGGTGAAAACTAATAAAACAGAATGAGAGAGCAAATCCCTGGGAGCTGGATTTTCAAAGTCCAAATAGCTGAATGCTGCATCAAATGTACTGTTGCTCCTTTCTTAAAAGATAGTATATCTGGGTGGACTTTGTTGGTCAGATTACATTGTCTGGTATATCAGAGATGTACAGTTGGAGTGTTTTCCTTGTGTACAAAATATATCCAAGCATTTCCCCCTGAAAGGAGTTTCTGAAGCCTCTGTGTCTCTACTGGACTCTCCTAGAACCTTTCAACTAGAACGCAGAGCTTCATCATCCTCCTTTTATCTCTGGCCTTCCCCT